AAACTCAGACCTGGGTGACTTATGGAGAAACTGAGGCTCAGGAAGCCTGAGTTCCCCAAGGTCCCCGTCTAAGAAAGTGGGATGGAGTCTCTCTGGGGAAGACAAGCCAATCCCACACCACTAGTCACCTCAGTCACGAAAGAGGGAGACCAGGTCTTAAGCATGGTCTTTCCGCAAGCCTCCCGCGAGCCGAGTGGGCGTCGGCGTCCGTGCCCCGCCAAGCCTCCTCTGGGGGCTCCCTCCTGGCTACTACAACAGCCACCCGCACGGAAGCCAGGGCGCCAGGGCCCCCTCCCGCGCCAGGGTCAGCCACGCCTTGGACCCTTCCTGCGGCGGCCGCACGCCCACCAGGCCCCTTCCCTGGGATGGGGCAGGTCGGACCTTCTGCCCCGCCGCCGACACTCGCTAGCTGCTCAATGACCACCGTGCTCGGCCCGCTCACCCCCAGGAGCCCGCTCTCACCTGGGCGCGGGCGGACACGGTGCGCCCCGGCGGGCACGAGTCCTCCTGCTCCTCCAGACTCTTAGGCGGGTCGCTTTTGAAGTATTTTCTGGGTGGAGGCTTCGGCTTGGAGGACGTAGGCTTTCTGACGAAAATCTCAAAAGATTTCTTCAGTCTCGGTGGCGGCTGGTCGTCCTGGTTCTCGCGGGGGCGCAGACTGTCCTGGGGGGGCCCGGACGCCGTCTCGGGAAGCGGCCCTGGGTCCTGGATCCCAGGACTGCGTGTCCTCGCTACCAGGCCCGACGGCGGCTGCTCCCCGCCGCTGCTGGGACTTCCCCCGGGGGACCCGGACACGTAGCTGCTGTCGCTGCTGGAGCGGACCAGGACCTTCGGGGCCCGGCGGAGCGGGGGTGCCGAGTGCTTCTCTCGCTCCTTCTCCGAGGCTGGCCGCCCATGCCAGCTGCTCTCCAGCCTTTTGGCACCTGTGGTGGAAGCACACGTGAACCTCCACGCCCGAGCCTGGGAAGACGGCACACCCACCCGCACCGCCACGGGCAGCACACACGCCGGGCTGGCTGCTCCCCAACCTCCCCCGGGGTGTGGTCCCCGGTGAGCTGTATGACTCAACGTCAGACGTCAGGTTGAGAACATCTGTCCCCCTTTCTTTCTCCGTGGGATGAGTCCCCACTGCACACCCCAGCCTGACCATCGCGGAAGGGCGAGGTGTCCCATGATGCAGAGCACGGGTGGCAGACGGCCTACAGCCGTCCAGGACTGCGGGAGCGACCCGGTCCCCTCACCCGAGGGGCAGCCCATCTCTAATGCCTGATGGCGCCGGGGCCTGAAAGGCCCAGCATTTCTGCCAACAGGACAGCTCCGAAGGGCCCTTTTAGCTCCAGGGGTCCAATGAGCTGTGGGTCTTGTCTCCATCAATGACTGAAATCTGTGCCTCCCACAGAAGCCGGCCGTGAGCCGCATGTGCCTCGCGAGCTGCTAGCCTGAGGCCCTGTCCCTAAGCCTGGGGCGGAGGGAGCGAGTTAACGGCTCAGACATCTCAGGTGACAGGAGTGACTTCCTCACCTTCCAGACTCCACTGATGCCTCTCCTTTCCAAACCTGTGCTCCGCAGCCTGGGCCACAGCATCTTTGAGCTGCTGCTCGGAGACCTAGAAAATGTCAGTCTCACGTAAACCACCGAAGCCCTCGTGCCAGGCTCCGACTCCCGTACCAGCTCCCAGCCGGGCACCTGGGTTCCGGTTCCCTTCCTTCCACTTTGCTCGGCCAATAGCTAACAAATGCCATTCCCGACACACCCTGTCACCGAGCTCCCCAGGGGGCCCGTGCCAACTCTCCACCACTGCCTGCGACGCTCCGGGCGGAGCCACCGCGTCACAGCGCCCCTCTGGGGACCACTGCACTCTTCCGCAGCTTTGTCCGGACAGCAGCGTCATCGTCACACACGCGGCCACCAGGCCCCCATTTCATCGTCACGTGGTGTTACTGACACTAACGGTTGGGGGTAGAAGCCCCGGAGCCACACACACTTGCGTTCCCGTCAGTCGCACTTCACTCTGACGGCGCACGCTCGGACGAGCTACGCGACCCGAGCCTCCGTGTGTCTCCTGCAGGATAACGACAGCATCAGAATCTGCTCCACTGCGAGGTGGACAGAGGTTTTTAAAAAAATAGACACCAAAAGTGCAGGCAACAAAACGACTATATAAAGAGCCTACCGTCGAAAATAAAATCAACCTATCAACAAAAGAGGCAGCAGAGTGAAAGGCGACTCACAGAATGGAGTCACCACCAGTTTCCTTCCTCTGAGGGACTTCACGACCACGCCATCCTGTCTGCTGCAGTCCAACTGGACACGAGAAAGTAGTCTGAAATGTCGCATCGAACAGCGACAGACCTCACCTAGCTCTTGACTCCCCAGAGGATGACATGCACACTCCTTAACACCCTACGGCCCTTCCCGATGGAACCCCAGTGCCTTGCCAAACCCCACTCTCAATGTCTCGCCCAGCCCCAAAGACCCACCGCTCTCCCTCTGTGACGACAGGTCCCTTCATTGAAACCGAGCCCCCAGATCTGAAGACATTAGGAATCGGGAGGAATGCTCAAAACCAGCAGACACCAACCAGGAGCGGCCCGGCAGATTGGGCAGATTGTGATTAGCAGCCAAATGACCCTGACTGGACCTCGAGAGCGCGGTGGAACCAAGATTCACAGAACTCAGGTGACAGAGGTGCTGCTGTTGCTGCTGGAGCCTTTTAAGAAAGACCCAGTGCCCAGACCAAGTACGGACACGGAGGGGAGTAACCGATCACACGCCAAACTGGACCTTCTCTGTCCTCTCCTGCCCCCTCGGGCACTCCGTGCCTTAGACAGCTTACTTCCAGGGCTGTCCACTCAGACCCCTGGATCAGAAGCAATGAATACGTACGATCCTCCTTAATCTTACTTCTTAAGTTGGCTTCAAGGCTTTACTGGGGAGACCGACCTGAGCTCTACCTGCGTCTCCTGTGAACCCTGTTTCTGTGGGAACCTGTTGCCGTCGACGCTGGCTTCTCTGTGCGTGACATGTGAGGAACCCACCGCCTCTGTGCAGGGACGTCGTAACTCCAAACTGCGAGCTTTGAGTTCCCCCTGCAGGGAAGGGCCTTCCCCGATCTCTGCCTGCAGAGAGCTGACTTCCGGTACTTCCTGCTTCCTACAGCCCCCCTGCCCTGTCCCACAGCGTTCATCGCCCGCACGGCAGCTGTCTCTCTGTCGGTCTCTCTGGCGAGCCTGTGACCTCGGGTCACGGCAGCGCAGTGCGCACTCACCTCTGCACGGTGCCAGCTGCACGGGGTCACGCAGAGGGCACCCCAGATGACACTCTTGCCTCTGCAAGCAAGGCCCTGGCTCTGTCTCCTGCCCTAGAACCTGGAAACCCAGCCACAGAGCCCCGTCCTGTGCCAGCGGCCGCTGGCGTCTCCGAGTCGACCTGGGCCCCTGCTGCAGACCTCACTGCCGCTCCCGCTGGGGACAGGTTTAGGAAACTCAGGTTCACACCGAAGCGCGCTGTGTTCCGATCTCCGTGCGGCAGCGGTGAGTGAGCGTGGGAAGAGGGGGTGCCGAAGCGGGTGTTACCTGCGGGTCCGGATGCCGGCTGACGATGATGGGGACTGGGCCAGGGTCACAGTGGCTCAGGATCGCGTAGACCGCGTTGAGCGACATGCAGTGTGCGGGGCAGTCGTTGATTTCTACAATCTCGTCACCACACCTGCAGGAGCACGGACGGGAGGTCATGGGCAAGCTACCGACACTGTACCAGGACCGTCACTCCCCTGGGGGCCCGCTCCTGCCTGGCCGTTTGTGAGACCTGAAAACCACATCATCCATATCCCGCTCAGCTGCCAACTCGGAACAGGGCGGCCCTGAGCAGCACCGCTCGCCGCCCACCGAGAGCAGAGTGGGGGCGCTTCACGCAGAGCTGCCAGCAGGACAGGATTCTGTCTGACTGTCCTCCTCCCGCCCCCACACACGCCCCGTCCAGACGGAGGGCACTCCCTCTCCCCGTGTCAGCTGAGGTTCCTGCCAAAGGCAACAAGGGCGGAAGGCGGCGGAGCTCGCGCCTGTCTGCATGAGGTGGGAGAGGCCGGCTGCGTGGGCCCCTGACAGACGGCGCAGCCCCCGCCTCATCTCACACGGGGACTAAGGCGCAGAGGGTGACGTTCTCTCCTCAGTGAGACCTCGCTTCGGGATCAGAACCTTTTTCTGGAAAGGCCAAACAGAGCATGAGGCTCCGCGGGCCACGCCGCCTGTGTCTCAGCCACGCGGCTCGAGCGCAGCCTGACAGCGGCAGCCACGGGCAGAGAGGCGGCGTGGCTTTGCTCCAGCAAAACGTTATTTAAAGAAACAACAGGCAGTGGGCTGCAGTCCGCGGACCCCTGGCCTCGCTGTTCCCAGCACGGACGGATGGGAACTCAGGTCTCCCGATGCTGACTGCTCTGCTCCTCCCACTGTGGTTGGCTGCCCCCCTTCCTGCGTTTCCGTCGAGTTGGTCCCCCTTCACCTTCGACACGAAATTATATTTCCATCCATGTAACTGAGGACCACGCCCATGTCGCGCCAGGTGCTAAGAAAAGCAGCAGCTTCCAGAACAATCCCTACGTATCTGCAGGCCTAGGAGGGAGGACTGTTGAGGTGTTAGGACTGAGGCCATCACCCCGAGCTGCAACGGCACCCTGAATAACAACAGCCCAGCGGCTCGGCCTGCCCCGCCGAGTGACAGCGCGCCCCCCTCCTCCGGCTCTGGAGCGCCACAAACACTCCATCTTGCAACTTCAGAAAAACCTCCGAACTGTGGCAAAGCTCGCTTATCCAGCCGAACCCTAACCCGGTGAGAGCACGTCTAGGTGAGGACGGATGACAGGAGGGGCAGACTGTGTGAGAGAGGACACACTACGTGTGAACGCTGGGGTAAGCACAGAGATCGTAACAAGTCAAACTGGGAAAAATGCTGTCACCGAACTAGGCTCACTCACTGGAAAGAAGTTTCCGATCTGCACTTTTCCTAGGAGCTACTTGTGAAATGTACGTGGAGCTCCTGAATGTACTTCCTTTAGGCCACCAGGAAGCCCAGCGACGCAGCCGATCTGCGCAGGGAGCTTCCTTCTCGCTCAGTGCACACGCGCCCCACCTAGGTCACAGCGCACTCCCCACCAGTCGGATCTGAAGTAGAGTGGGCTTCCTCCACGCTTCCTGTCCCGTCCCGGTGTCTGAGACAAGCCTCTCCCACCGCTCCATGTGTGCCAACCCCGGGACCCCGTTAAACAGAGTCTGATTCAGTGGTGAGGGGACTGAGGCTTCTGCGTCTCTACCAAAGTCCCCAGGACTTCCAGGCCCTGGCCCACGGGCCCCACTTGAGAAACGAGGCTCTTGGCCACAGCTGCGTCATTCTGAACGTGCCTCCTGCAAAGCCATCTGCTGCCAGCCTGAGCACCGCCTCCTGCCTGCCGTGAACCGGGGCCTCTGCACAACGGGACGTCAGGACCTACCGGAGCCGTCCATCCAGGTGCGCCACAGATCCCGGGGACAGCGCGTGAACGAAGATGCCCGAGATGCACTGGAAGTAGGGGACGCTGCACAGGCCGATGCCCAGACCAACGCCGGCCTCTGCAGGCAGAAGGGGGGCTGAGCTTTACGGGAGCACGCTACTCTCTCAGGGGTCCGCACCCTGTCCTCTACTCATCACCCATCTCCACGGAACACCCCCGGAGGCGTGCGTGGCTCTAGGTGGGTGCAGGGGAGGGATGGGTGGGGCCTGCGAGCGGTCGTGTGCGCTCCGCCCGCGTCCCGGCCCCAGCACAAGGACCACGCACAGATGCCGCATCCTGGTCCTGCAGGCAGAGCACCCGGCTTTCTGCCAAGCACTGGTGTGAAGTGCGGACAAAGGGTTCTGCTCTGTCCCGGGGGAACGCGGGGAGGAGCCTGGGTGGGGCGGGGCCTCCGGAAGGCACGCCTACCTTTCCTCAGAGAAACCTCCACCATGACTCTGTGATTGGGCTTGGCAGTGCTGGCAGGAGCCGGGGGCGTTTCCAAGAGGAAGGAGCCGCTGGCCTTGGCGACACAGGTGCTGGAGCTCAGCGAGCGGCACAGTGGGGGAGACAGGGGGCTGCTCAGGGAGTGGGGGGCCGTCAGGCGGGTCCTCACCGTGAGGGTCAGGAGCCCCTTTTTGGCTTGCTGAAAAGAAAGCGAGGGTGCCACGGCATTCAAGAGTGACCCCCGGCGAGACGTGTGAATGACTGCAGGTGCGCACGTGTGTGTGTGTGTGTGAGATGGAAGTGTGTTACACACCTATCACATACCTGCACACACATATGCAGATGGGACATACACGGGACGTACACATGTGTATGCGATCAGTGCAGGGTCTTCGACTAACTTGATGGACACTCAGAAATGCCTGCTAGCAACTGCCTTACACACTTAAAAGCAGTTTGGAAATAGCAATATAAATACGTACCACATTTTAAAACAGCTATAAACCTTAAGGAGTTGGAACATCCCCCGTAACGATCCTGATCGCTCTATTATTTTCTGAGGCGGGGCTCGCTCTCTTTGACCCTGTGCCGACACCAGCATCAGCTGGTTTGAATTTGTACAATGGAATGAAACAGGGCGACGTGGAGACCTTTGCCTACAGGCCCACGTCCTGGTAACAACCGATTACCTTGAACTTCTGCAAAGCATCCTGATGAGTCAGTCCGCCCATGGACTCACCGTTGAGTTCCAGAATTTCATCGCCTGTTGGGAGAGGGAGAACCTGCAGCTTAGAAGAGTTTTGCCCGGTCAGGGGCATCACCCTCACCTAGAACTCTAGTCTCGCCCACCTGCCCTGCGTCTGCACAGCGCATGGAGCACCGTGAGCACATGTCCTGTTTGGTGCCGCCCCCGCCTGGGATGCAGGCAGGGCGGCGGTGGGCCTTCCCCCGCACCCCCACCTTCCAGGAAGAGATCCCGGGCCTCGGCCGGTCCCCGTCCACCTCTTGGCTTCACCTGCTTCCCTCCTGCCGCCCTGACCCTCGCACCGTTTGCTCCCAGAAACCACTTCAAAGACAGCACTACTGGCCTCGGCCACAACGGTCTATATAGTTCGATGCCTGTTTCTGTGCCTTTTTCTCAACTCAATCGTCCCTCTCAGACCCACCTCCCCTCCCTACCTCGTCCCTGCCGCCTCTATCACTTCGTGCTCTCGTGACTGCGCGCGTCAGCTGGATGGCACTCAGTGTCCCGTAACGGCCTCTCCCTGTCCAGGATAGCGGGTCCCTGGGGACAGGGCCTTTGTCTTTTTAGATGCTGTACCCCCAGAACACGGTGACGCCCCGTCTCACAGAGGAGGAGGGTGAGCTCAGAGAGCTGCAGTCCCACACACGGCAGAGAATCAGGACTCGGACCTTGTGACTCCAAGTCATTTCTTCACACCAGTGTACACCTAGAAGGACAGGTTTTTCCTGTCTCCAGAAATCCATTTTTTTGTGTGTGTGGATGGCAAAACACTTTCTCCCTTTTGTTCAGTTTATTCAAAACACACACACACACACACACACACGAAACACTTTCTCTACATTCAATACTACTCTGGGCAAGTAAGGTAAGACGCTGATTTAATTTAAAAGAACCTCTGGCCTGACGGTTGCTAGTGAGAGCTGCTGTCCTCACCAGAACTATTAAACACCTGGTGCTGGGAAAACTGGGCAGGTACATGCCAAAGAAAAAAAAAAATAGACTAGACCACGTACAATAAACTCCAAGTGCATTAAAGACTCAAATGTTAGACCCCAAACCATAAAACTTCCAGAAGAAGTCATGGCTGGTCAGCTCTCTGACGTCGCTCTTAATATTTTTTTGGATATGTCTCCTTGGGCAACGGAAACGAATGGGACTCCATCAAATAAAAAGATTCTGCTGCACAGCGAAGGAAACCATCGACCAAACAAAAACAACCACTGATATATCTGATAAGGGATTAATATCCAAACTGTATAAGGAGCTCATACTACTTAATACCGAAAAGACAACAAATCCAATGAAAAATAGGCAGGGGACCGTTTCGAGAACAGGTATTTCTCTAAAGAGGACATAACGCCTGGCCAATAGATGTATGAAAAGACGCTCCATGTCACTAATCATCAGGGAAATGCAAATTAAAACCACCATGAGATGTCGCCTAGCACCTGTCAGAACGGCCGTCATTAGGAACGCAACAAACCACAGTGTCGACGAGGACGCGGAGAAAGGGCCCCTCGTGCGCCGTCGCTGGGGCTGCAAAAGGTGCAGCCACTGTGGGAAACAGTGTGCAGACTCCTCAACATATGAACACCAGCACTACCCTATGCCCAGCAACCTCACTTCTGGGTATTTATCTAAAGAAACCCAAAACACTCATTTGAAAAGATATACGCACCCCTGTGTTCACTGCAGCATTATTTACAATAGCCAATACCTGGAAGCAACCTAAGCGTCCACTGATAAATGAATGGATAAAGAAGAGATGGTGCACACGTACCGTGGAATATCACTAAGCCATGAAAAAGAACAAAATCTCACCATCTGTGACAACATGGATGGACCTAGAGGGTACCATGCTGAGTGAAATAAGTCCAAGACAGACAAATTCCATGATTTCATTTATACAGGAAATCAAAATAAATGAACACACCAGAAACAAACTGAGGGAACAGACTGCCGGTTGCCAGATGGGAGGGGAACTGGGGGAACGGGTGAAAAGGGGCGGGACGAAGCAGCACGAACTGCCATGTGTCACGGATGTGAAGGATGGCCCAGGGAACCACGGGAGGGTCCGGGCGGGCGCTGCTCAGCCCTGGCCCCTCGCTTTGGCTTCTCCCCCTCCTCCATCGCCTCTCACTCCGTGCGATAATCATGCTCTAGTCCACTAATGCCAGAAACTTGTGGTTTCTCTAACCTGCCCTTCACCTGCCCCCTGCAGGGAGGCTGTCACGTGTCCCATCGGCATCTTCTCCCTCCTAGTCTCTCTCCTCCGGACGAGCCTTGGGAGCTGGAGCCCAGCTGTCACCACAGCCTCAGAAGTGGGTTTACTGTTTCTGGTCCCCTGCCCGCCCACTTCAGCCTACACTCAGCTTCTCGAATCATCTCAACACCCTGGTCATAGCTGGTCCCTTCCACATTAAACAACTGTCAAAGGCTCCCACTGCCCGCACGATAAAACCCAAGTGCACGATCCTGCATAACGTCAGAGTCGCCACACTTTCTCTATAAAGGGCGCGCGAGTAACCGTTACAGGCCCCGTGGCCCCGTGCTGTGACACAACCACTCCACACGGCCCTTGCGACCTCGAGCTGTCCACAGACAAGAAGTAAATGGATGAGTGAAGCTGCGACCCAGCGGAGCTTTCCAGGGAGACTGAGATTCGAATTTCATTTAATTTTCACGTGTCACAAAAGAAAAAATTCTTTTGACTTATTTTCAGCCACTGGAAACAAACTACTCTCTTCTCGTGAACTGTGACAACGGGCAGATGTGGGCTGCCGTCTGCCAACCCTGCCCTCAACAGCAAGCTACCAAAGCTGGTCAGGCTCTGGGGCGGCTTCCAGGACCCGCTTGGCAGGACAGTGAGACAGCAGTGACGTCCCCTCTCCTAGCCTGCCGTATGTGACCTCTGCTCCGTGATGGCGGGACCCTGAATCCTGCCCTTGGCTGCAGCCCAGGGAGCTGCTCCAGCTAAGCCTACCGCCCGATGGCCCACACGGCTTTGGAAACGCACCTTCCTGCAGCCGGCCATCGGCTGCCGCCGCTCCCTCTGCAAAGATGGTTTTGACGTAAATTCCAATGGGGCCATAAATGCTGTCCTTTCCCCCAACGATGCTGAAGCCCAGGCCCTGCGGAGGAGAGAGGAAAGGTCAGACGGAGGTGGGTCCCTGGCATGGGGTTCCCTGGTGGCACTTCCCGAGGGCCCCGGACAAAGGGCTCAGGGAGGAGTCGGGTGCTCTGGGCTCACAGGTCTTGGGACTTAAAGGAAGGGGGAGCCGCCACCTTCTGGCGGGACCGGCCACGTGGTGTCTGGAGCTTCGGCACAAGGGACTCTGGATGGAGACTCTGCCCTTCTGAGCGACAGTCCTGGGCAGGTCACTTCCTGTCTCTGAGCCTTACTTTACCTTCTAACTCACGGGGTTGGTTAGAATGGGGAGTAACACGCCTCACAGTGACCACTGAAGCATCGGCGACAGAACAGGGAGAGCAGAAGCTTGCGGCAGAAGATGCGTCCCTCTACCCAAGGCCGTGCGCGGCCCTGTCCCGCACCCCACCGGCTCCCCTGCTCGAGGACACCGCGCAGTCCTGCCCCGGCCTGCCCTCGACCAGGTCGTGAGCTGACCCCAGCGTGGCGCGGGCAGCGGCTGCGGGAAAAAAAGAGCAGTGAGGCGGGATGCAGGAGAGAGGGGCCCGCGGGAGCTGGGGCGCAGCTGCTCTCCTCTGTGGGCGACCTGGGCGCTCCCCGCTTCACAGCAAGGCTCCGCCTGGGTCTCAACCGAGTCCCCTCTACACTGAGCTCCCTGAAGGCAGGAAACGCATCTCGTGCGTCAGCGTCTGGCCCCTGGCAGGTGCCCAGAAGGGAGGGAAGACAAGAATGCCAGCTGGAGGCCGGGCCTCCCTATCCAACTGGCAAGCGTGCCAAGTAGTGGTCAGCAGCCTGGCTCCCAGAAAGATCCCCCAACATGGTGGCTGCCACTGGGATGGGACCACTACTTTTAGGACATTTCCCTTAGGCCAGGGGCGGCTCAGAGCCCGTCATGTCACATGCATCACCCAGATGGCGGGGCCGGCAGCCATCTGCAACGTGCCACGGGAGACCAGGCAAGCGTGCACTGAGCAGCTGTGTGGACCGCTGCTGCGCTAGGCTTCTGGTGAGGGCACTGTGTGTTCCAGGAGGGGAGAGACAAATGGTGCCCGGGAGTAACACGGGTAAGAAAAATGAGGTGGGAGTGGCTTCAGGGCTCCCCGAGGGGCCTGCAGCTTCGTCCTGGCTGAAATAATTGCTCTGGACTCAAACTCTCACCGCCCTGCTGAGCCTGGATGTCTGGTGGTCAGAACAAGGCCCAGGGGTCAGGAAGTCTAGGTCACTGTCTCGGTTTGGCCGCTCACCAACCAAGTGACCTTGGGCAAGTCCTGCAACCTCCCAGGCTGCAGCCTTCCCTGTGCGGGACCAGAGGGAGGGCTGTCGTGAAGCAGCAGCCGTCCCTGCAAGGCCCTGAGCGCAGGGCCTGAGCTGGGGAGCTGCTCTGTCGTCTGTAGCTCTGCGCTGCCTCCCTTCCCCCTGGACTCAGCCCCGGTCTCACTCCTACTGGCTTCCCCGCCCGTAACCAGCCTTGGGTGCACGGGCTGTGTCAGGTGGACGGCGGGAGGCACGCCTTGTTTCTGAGCCCGTCACCCTGCTCTGTACTCCAGGCCCCGGGCAGCCAGCTCGTGCCCACAAAGTGCACCGACGGAGCGTGCGTTTGGTTCACAGCAACACGACTGAACCGTTCTGTTCCTGCTCTGCATGAGTCTCGGTGCCCCTTTCCACTCTGCCTGTCTTTGACCACAGCCGACAATCCGAAAGTCGACGAGTTTTAAAACACTTCTGCCCAAGGCCAAGGAGTAGAACAAGCGATTTACTGACCAGAAAGTGAGGGCGTTAGGCGCAAAGTCGGCGCGGGAGGGAGAGTCTCCTGTGGCCACAGGGACAATCATCTCAGCATTTCTCGCCCCTGTCTTCTCCTCACGTCTGTGCCGAGCTCCCGGAGGGGAGGACCGAGAGACAGCTGTGGGGCCCCCGCCCCACACAGGCTCTGCATGCCACACCGAGGGAGCCATCGCTGTCCCATCCCCCCGCTTCCTTTGACACGACGGGGTCTCAGGACCCGGCCTCGTTCCACAGGTCTACGCGGGCAACGGGCCTCGCTTACCTTGGCCTGGCCCTTCATCAGCACGATGCTGGAGATGACGGAAGCCTGCAGGGCCCCCGAGGGCAGCACGAGCTGAGCCGTGCTCAGCGACCGCGTGGGTCCGGCCGTGTCCTGCAACGAGGAACCGGGGCGGGGAGCGGGCGGGTCAGTGGGACACCAGGGCACAGCTCGCTGGGCAGGGGGTACCCGAGCAGAGGACCCACGCCCGGAGCTGGTCAGTGGTGTGTGGGTGGGAGTCTGGTGCAGGGGGGTCGTTTTGGTGGCCCCAGGAGCAAGCCGTGGGGAGGCCAATCGCCCTGCAGAGCAAAGTCTCAGGCACGGTTCGGAAAGCCAGCGGCCAACAAAGCCTCCACAGAATCGAAGACACGTTAACTGAGACCCCTCCTGGGCCAAGTATGGGGTGCTGGGCGACGGGCAGGAACCCGAAGGTCTGACGACTCAGAACCTACGGTCAGGGAGGCAGACAGGTGATAACTCCGTGCACAGGGCAGGCGGTGTGCCAGGTACGCAGTCTGCGTGCGTGGGAAGCTGCCTCGGCGAGGGACAGGGTGGCATGGAGGTCAGAGCTCAGGCCTGGAGTCCCGCTGACTGGATTGTTGTCTTGGCTCTGCCACCAATCAGGTGGTGACCTAGGACGGGGCATAGCCCCTCCGTGCCTCGGCGTCTCTAACGCCATCTGTCCCTTGGGAATCCACCTTTCTCTAGCAGTGGAACGCCAGGGCTTCCCATTTGCGATCGAAAACCATGATAGCGCAAGGAAGGAAAAGGAGGGAAGAGACAGATGGAGCCCTCCAGCACCTGCTGCGCGCTATCCAGGGAGAGGCCCCGCCCCCCACTTTGCAGAGCTCGGGGCCGAGCAGGTGCCACGCTGACAGGGAGGCTGGCCCCGACGGGACAGGCCGCGTGAGTGCTGAGAGAAGACGGGCACGGGAGACGTGGGGTCCGTGCAGCTGGGGCAGGCAGGGGCGCATCCCCTGAAGAATGGGGCCGTGGGGTTCCGCAGAGAGGCTGGGGCGCGGGAGGGCAAGGCGCGGCAGCCGGAGGGCGCTGTGTGGCTCTAAGTGGCAGCAGGAGGCATTCGGCGGCTCACTGCCCTGGGTGGAGCTGAGGGGGAAACAGGAGGCCGTGTGCAGGCCAGCTAGAGCGACGCGTGGGGGACAGCACGCTTCCCAGCCGCTTGGCATCCCATCTGCAAGCCGATGCCCCAGGGCCAAGGGCACGGACGGGGGTCCACCCAGGGCTTGGTCCAAACTCTGGCCCCTTGGGTTAAAGATGCACGAGCTCAGACGGCCTTGCCTCAACCTCCCTGTAAAACAGGCTCATGCTACATTCCAAGCTTGTTTTAAGAATTAGAGGCAACAGGCTTAAAGCAAGTCACATATCACAGGGGTTAAAAGCCCAGGGGTTGGAGTCCTGGGGATCCAGTGTCAGTGCCAGTGCTCTCTCTGACTGGCCACGTCACCGTCCACTTTCTGGGACTTGTCAAAGCCCCAGGCCTGTCTGCCTTTCAGGGTGACTGTGCAGGTGACATGAAGGGCAGACATGCGGTCTCCGCCCAGGTCTGCGTATGGTAGCACAGAAGTGGCGGCAGTTCCAAGGCCCTGGACACACGGGGGCGCTGTGCGGCCGCCGTTCCTGAGGCGGTGCCCGGTCCTGACGCCCGCCCCCCGCGCCCGGCCTCCCTCCGTGCTCACCACGGTCTTTCCCGCGGGCCGGTCCAGCTGCTGGGACAGACACTTCCTGTCGCTGCAGAGCGTGCGCGGCTCCCCGGCCCGGCGAGCGGCAGACGGCCTGGTCACGGGAAAGTCCAGCTCCGCGCTGCAGGAGGCGCCGACACCTGGACCCGGGGGGAGGGGGGCCGTGGCGTTCTCCGTCTGCACGCGGGGTGCGGGGTGCG